TTAAGCGCTAAAAAACTATTTTGGTTCAAAAAGAAAATTTTTTAGTTTTAGGTGATCCGTTTGAGAAATTCTAACCCTAAGTTATTTAAATTTTTACAATATTGCTTTTGACATGGTTTATCTTTGAAATTATGTCCCAAATAGCACAACACTTGAGCCCAATATTGTGTCAACATTGCATGGCAATATTACCAATTCAACTATTTTTTTTTACAAATTTTTTAGGAACAATTCTATTTTCAATTACCTCGAAATTTTTCGTTTTTTTTTAAATCCACATTTCACCAACTCCTATTTAAAGTTAATCAATGATTAAAATCAGTTTAAAAGCTCATGACTGCTTTACTAAGGATTTAATCATTCATTACACTGAGTTACAGGAAAAGCTTAATGTAGTGTATAGTTAAAAATGTTTGTGTTTATTGAAACTTTAGGTGTCACTGAACAAGAATGAGATATCAAAAAGTTTTTCATTTGGTCAGTTCCATAAAAAACGAGATTAAAATGTCAAAAAATCGCCTTTTTAGCACTTTTTAAAGTAGGGGAAAGGCTTGAAGGTTGTCTCACTTGCGTTTCTCTTTATTCTAGAAGTGCCATAATTAATAACGCGACTGATATTTACAACATATTGATATTTGACAACAATATCAGTCGCATTTTTAATTATGGAGCTTCAAGAATAAAAAATAAGGCAAGTGGAAAAACCTGCAAGCCGTGACAACCTGCAAGCTTTTCCCCTACTGTAAAATAAAAACGCGACATGATAAAAATCTCAGAAAGTATTTTAATGAAAGCTTAAATTATCAACTTTAAGGCTAAGAATTGATAGATGATTAACAATCACGGGATACTTATTTTTATTAAGAACCCAGCGAGAAATGAAAGGTCTAACCAACGTCTATTCGACATCTAAAAAGGTGAGAGGTGATCGAGGTCTAGATTTGGTCTAGAATTATTATGTATGTATATTATTAAAGGTGTTTGACTTCTTAGATGTTTCTATTTGCCATTTTACACGCATTTAATAGAATGTAATGTTTCCCCTAACAGCAACAATTATTTTAGAATATCCTCTGAACTTCCTATGCGTATTCGGAAATTAGGATATCCTTAAGGTGCAAAACGAAAAAATCCATTAATATTTAAGTTTGACCTTCTTTTCGATTCTGTTAAATTTTGGTGATTGAAAACAAGCTGCTTTGTAGTTTTTATCATATTTAAAAAATCTGCTTCCAAAAACGAGTTTGTTAGTTAAAGTGCTGGAAAGTTTCAAGTATAATGAGGTTTAAAATTTATTATTTCAACAAAATAAATTTAAAATCTATCAATGTGAACAAATCCAATACGTACTTTGAATTTCTTGTTTGTTAATTTTTTTCCAATTTTCAGCAAAATCAAAATGCAAAATAATTTTATTTAAATTGTTTTTGCAGTTTCTTTTTTATTTCCAATTGTTGCGTCTCTTTTATTCTCTTATGAAGATTTTCATTGATTTTCGACGTACTCAATTCAGCTAAAAATGTAGAAACGGTGGTTGTTCCAGTTTTTAGTATTTCGTTATTACAAATAGCAAAAGTTACATTTTGCTCCCTACTTTCATCCGAAATAACTAAATATTGCGGTGTTATACTATTGGTTACGGGGCACTGGGAACAATTTTCAAAATTACAATTTTTAGTTGTTGGGGAACAAAGTACTACAGGAAATACCTCTTTCTGAAATTTGCAATATTAGCTTGTCGTTGATTTCTAATATTATTTAGTGCATTAAGGTAAAGTTCCAAATTGGAATAGTATATGCACAAACCAAACTCTTTCGGTGAAACAATCATAACCCATTTTGGTCGCAAAGAGTAAAATGTGGATTCACCTATTTTTGATCCTTTTTTTTATATCTTATTACATTTTTCAGAAACATTAATAATGTTTTTTTATTTGGACTTTGACGAGAACAATCTAAATCATCATTTAAATGCTCTGTTGCTAATTTCATATCTGCTTCGCTAACAGAATGACCACAATGCAAGTCTGAAGACTCATAAACTCCCTTTTCTTTTTCTAACTTTCTTTCTTCATTGACCATGTGCATTGTTACTTTTGAAAAATTGTTTAAAATCTTGTTTTTTGAATAAACGTTTTGAATCACTGTTAAAAATCGGACCTTTTCGGACTCTGTCTTGTTTGCTTTCATCCAACACCCACTTTCTTTTTCGCCTTCTCATCATCCTGTTTCACGTGCGTCTCATGTGTAATCATATTGCGAATTTTTTGAGGTTTTCAATTCATGAACTGATCGGACGGTCGAGACGCAAGAGTTAAAACCAGTCAGAGGGCAATGGCAACTCCGTTGGAATTGCTCAATTGATCAAATCAAGCGTTCTCGTGATACCTGTTGAGAATGGAAACACTAAATAATTATTGAATTTCCCAAGTTCTGTAACATAAGCATCAGCGATTGCACTCAAACGATCCAAATATAGACATAATATGTTATGATTTAAATTGTAACATAAAATTTAAATCGTACCAGCAATTCAGAAGACAAGTTTATTTTAATTATTCCTATGCCACTGATAAGAATGCTCATTCTCGTAATGTTAATAATTGTAACCACTCTTTCAAATCAGTTCAACAATTCAATAAGCACATTAAAACTCAAATAAAGGGCTCTGACGATGGAATAAAATGTCCCTTTGAAAGTTCCATCGACGAACCAAATACTACTTCGTGCTGATTAACGTAAATTTTCTGTTGTTAAAAAAGTAATTATTCGGTCATCATCGTTTTCTTCGTCATCAAAGGAATCGTACAGAAAAAAGTTTTCTCCTGAAAAAATATATTTGTATTGGTTAGGTAAATCTTTTAAATTTTCAATTTATGTCGGATTTTCAGGCATGTTTTGTATCCTCTCTGTAGTAAATCGTTTCCGCATCAAATTACAAAACTGGAATTTTCATATGCGATAATTAGTCTAATAGACAATACGAAGTTGTTGCTGTCAGTTGATTGTATTACGTTAAACAGTAATTAAAAAAACAATAACGAATAACACATGAAATACAAAAGATTCAAATTTGGTAAAATTATTCTTTAGAAAAATTTGGTTTGGAAAACCATTTCAAAGTTAAAATCTGACATTAGACGTGTTACTAATTTTACCAATGTAACTCAAACTCTATCATCGCGGTATCAATTAAAAAAGCTGCTTTTCCTCCAAATGCTTTTGTTGAAACAAAACACACCTTTGAGTATACTCCAAATGCTTTCATGGATACAGAGTGGGATTTACATTGTAATATTTTCATTGGCAAAAATACTGTGAATTACAAATTCATCTCAAACACACTAACTTTTCGTTGCATAGATTATAAGAAAGGCATGTCAGTATGTTTTGGGGATAACGAAAATGGAAATTTTGAAATTCATCATAGCATCCTTCACGGAGGAAAATATAGAAACAATCATCAAAAATGGAAACAAAAAATTACAGATCAACGGGCCACATTTCATTCCCGAAGAAGATGGCACGTTCCTCACAGAAAGTGAGGACATTCACTATTACGCTAATCAAAATAAGCCAATATTGCTATTAGAAGAAAATGAATTGTGGTCCTCTGAAAGTTTTAATAACATAATTATAGATCTCCCAGTTGTAAATAAATCGACTGTAATTCAACGCGAAAATGCATCGAACACACATACTCCGTTTGAAAATTTAAACTAATTAATGGATGAGAACAGAATATCTAATTCAAACAATGGTGAGGAAATTACAATTACAAATTCAAACAATGGCGAGCAAATCACAATCACAAATTCAAACAATGGAGAAGAAATCACAAATTTTTTACAAAAAAAAATAATTTTTCAGACTGGAGTGAGTATATAATACCTTGGACACAAATAACTCCAGATTTATCGAAGCAATGCAACAATGGGACCACGGACAATTATGTAATCAATGGAGTTGTTCGAGCTATCATTGGAGACATGAGATTCTATGATGATCCAATTCGAAAGCAAGATTTACAAAATGTTGCAAAGTAATTTAGGGACAAATTCCCTAAAACCATTAAGGAATAAATAAGTTTAAATAAAATAATTTCTTAAAAATTACTTTTAAAAAAATTAAAAAATCAATCATTGTTAATAATTATTATAACCATAATTATTTAATGTAATGATATTCAATAACATTTAAATATCAACTTTAAATATAAGGTTAATTTAAATCACATTTGTTTGTTTGATAAAATAATCTAGAAATACTAGATATGGGTGATTCTTCTGAAAGTAAACACTTCACGTGTTTTCAACCTGAGGTTCATTATTTATATTATTTTTTTATTGATATTATATTAAGTTTGAATTTTTTGAAAAATTATGAGTAGAGGTGTAAAATTTTACACTCTTCAAAAGTGTAAAAGTGTAGGAAGTCTTGCAAACTATGGAAAATGATTTTCTTCCGTTCTCAACAATTTCGATATCATTCGGGTTTAACATTTTAATTTTTTGAAATTAAGTTTCTTAAAACTTTTTATTAATTTATTTTTGATAAAGTTTTTATCGAATAATCTCATCGGGAATCATTTAGATACAATTTTGGAACAAAATTTACTTGCGGAAGTCATTTCCAGAATTATTTCCACGTTTATAAAAAACTGAAAAAACATCATTTTTTTACATTAAATCATTTAGAAAAACAATAAAACAAAAACTAAAAGAAAATTATATCTTTGGAACTAAGGAAGATTTTTTGAAATAAATTTCTTGTAAATTGTACATTACTAAAGAAATAAATAAAATTTAATTTAAGGAAAATTACGTTACTCTGTGATTATATGGCCCATATTAGGACATGTGCATTCCAAATAGCATGAACTTAAAAAAAACTTATGTAAAAGGTTCTCTTTGCAGCTACTAAGGAAAGTCAGCAGAGTTAGAATTATCTAGTTTATCTTTAAAACGCATAGTGAAGGAATTGAAGTAAATTACAACAAATTAGTATTAAAAGAGAATTAAATAATTTTATTGCAAGATATTTTAAACTCCATGCCATGACGGTAAAGAAATTCAAAAAAGTCAAAATTGGTTTTGCACCACCATGACAAGGAGTCAAACAACTTATTTCGAAATGATATTTCCCATACATATTCCAAGTAAGTTTATTATGAGTTTTACTAAAAATGACATGACAGCATCGCAAGCTTTCTTTAATCATTGATTTCGTGTGAAGTAGATAAAAAAATTGTTAAAAGAACCTAGAAAATATCGACTTTTAAAAATCTATTTTCACATCACTCTATAATATTCCGACAGCATTTAAAGTGAATTATGCTTTGGATGTATTGTGCGGGAATTACAAGTCATTGGATGAAAGAGTCATCGCCGAAAATTAAAGCGAGACGAATTCAGGGGGCGGTTGAATAACTGACTGTGGAGTTGTGGGCGTCAAATGAAGCTCCAAGTCTGTTAAAGAAAATGTTGAACTTCCTGTTGCAGTAACTCGGGGACCCATATTGTCGTAAGGTGAGCCAAGTTCAGTTGATCGCAATGTTCGCCTCGGCAGTGTTGCAAAATTTGATACCTCTGTGGGAATTGAGACATTAGTTGCTGCTGGTTTTTCAGTCATATGACTTATTGTACCGTGGACGGGAATGTCCAGAAGGTCAGGGTAACAGCGCTCCGAGCCCTGAGGAAGAGACACGGAAATGAAAATATTACCGAATGTCCCCGCTGGGAGGAGGCCTGTTGTAAAACCAGATGGGGGTGGTGGGAAAATAGCAGAGCAGGGAAGAGTGCGTACTGCACTTACATTGCACATTTCTGGCCTCAGCCTTTCAATTGTCACATTAGCGGAATTAATTTGTTCACAAATGGAACTACGTTCAATAAGTTCCATATCACTTGGACTGCAAGCTTCTGCTAAACTGCCTTGACCACTGGTGCGTTCATTACAACTACCCGCCGTGGTTGTTGTTACTGATAAATCAAGAAGCTTCTTTTCTTGATCTCCGAAACTTGAACTTCCTTGAAGTTTCTCTTTTTGGAGTCGACTTTTGCGCCGTGTTTCACCGCAAAAACAAAGCGCCAACAAAACTGCAGAAATAGAAGCACAAAGTGCAACAGCTCCACCCCCGGCAAGACTCACCCAAAGGAGCCAATTGTCTGTTTGGGAGAGAGTGGGTGCTGTGAACACGCGAGGGACAGCTACATTTAGAGCAGTGCTTGCTGTACCGGCTAGATTTTTAGCATAGCATGTGTATTCACCAGCATCAATATCACTGGCATTGTAGACCGTAAGATTGCTCCACCTTTTATTAACTGTCATCCCAGTGTTGGTGTTTTCAACTGTATTAGATGAAATGGAATAAGTAATATAAGTTCCAAAATTAGGTTGTTCCGAACGAGTAAGATTAATGGGGCCACCATTTAACTGCCACGATAATTCAGGTTCTGGGTCTCCGGTTGCCATACAAGATAGACTTATGTTCCCATTCATTTCAATTTGAGTGCTGCTAGCATGAGCCACTACTTCTGGTTCACAAGCAAATTCTGTTAATTTGACATCTTCCCAACGACGTCCTTCCATTTTTCTTGGATATTTACAAATTTGAGCGACTGAGTACAGCCTACTTGGACCTTCAGTCATGAGCCACGTTCGAAAGTCACGTAACCTACAATCACATTTCCAGTTATTATTGTTTAGAGATAAAGTCTTCAGCTTTTTTAGACTGGAAACTAAAGATACGTCGATGTATTGTAGAAGATTGTTATCCAAACTCAAAGACTCGAGTCCATCAAGTCGCACGAAGGCTAATTTATGAATCTCCTTCAGGGAACATCTTTGAATTTCTAAATTACGCATGTGTTTTAAATTTGGGAATTGATGACTTTTTAGAGTAACAAGTGGATTACCACTTAAGATGACGGTCTTTAATCTTTCATTACCAAAAAATGTGTTTGGATCAAGACTGGTAATAGCATTGTCCGAAAGATCGACTTCAACCAAGATTCGCATTTCTATGAAGGCATTCGCGTGAATCTGCTGTATTTTCGCGTTTCGCAAAAACACTTTTTGTAAGTTTAATAAACCTGCATCCTTAAATAATCCTGCTTTTAAGGCTGGAATTTCGTTGCCTGATAAGTCCAGCAGTTGCATGTCTGAATCTAGATCAGAAGGTAATGACGTAAGTCCAGCAGCAGGACAGATGGCAGATTTTCTTCCCAATGTCCATTTGCATTTACACACCGCAGGGCAATCTGTCCAGTCAGGAAATGCTGCAGCCTTAGATAAAGTAAAACATGTGGTTAAGAGAAAAAGGGCGAATAATAAGCGCCCAAACCCTCCGAGAGGGTTATTCTGAGTTACTAACATAACCACCGCCACAGATACGGAAACCTTATTTTGCGTTTCGCAAAATTTCATTGAGAGAATTGACAGCAGCTAGATGGACATTTTACTTCTTGAAGACGAAAGTCCCACATGAATGGTCAGTTTAAACCCTGTAAAAATAAATAAAAATATTTTAATATTTCAGTATAATCTTAATTTATGGAGTTAAAAAAATTAGTCATTTACAATATTAAGTATGTAATTAAATCAAGGTAATTTTTAATTATACATGGGTATAATTACATTAGAAAAAAATTAAATGTTTAAAATTATTGAAGTTACGACGTATTATTTTTAGACAAATTTGATAATTAGAAGTTATAGTATTTAATATCCGTACGATACATTTTTGATAATTTTTTTTTACAAAATCGTTTGTTTGGAATTTTAAATCAAAATTGAATTGTTTGCCTCTGGAGTTTCAATCCGTTTACCAAACAAAGGCTACCGCATAACAGTGCCATAAGTTAAATACAAACAAGTTTAATAACTTTTTATTTCACTTCATTATTTAATTTTGCAAACATTGTGCAAAAATTAACAGAGCAGGTATGTTTATTAATTTGAGTGTTCAGAATGCAGTATTATAGTTATTATGAAATTTTTTAAAAATATTATGGAAGTTATTATAATCTTTTGTAAAATCTGTTTGTGGGGTGAAAGTAGAGTTGCACGTCGAGCGAGAATTTCTCGTTGTTTTTAATTTCTTTACTCGATTAACGAGAATATATTCAGAACGTGAACATCTCCCCTCATTTGTTCATACTCGTCTTTTCTCAACTCCATTCAAATTACACATTCTCGCTCAAATGTCAATTCAGATTGACAACTTCAAATTCTGAACATTATTTTAGCAAAATGATGAGAAAAAGGAAAAGCACAGAACCTGTTGGTAATTTAATTGCGGACACAGTTCAGGAAAATGAAAATAGTAATGTAGATCAAGAAAAAGAAATTTTATCCCAGTAAATATATATTTTCAATATTATAAAAATAAATTTAATATAAAATTATTATTACTTTCATACTGAGTTTATTTACACCATGAATATTTATAAATTAATAATAATATTAATAACAATGATAATAATAATAATAATAATAATAATGATAAGAATAATAAAAATAGTAATAATATTAAATAAATGTTTTAACCTCTTTTGAAAAATTAAATTCTATTTTATTTCTACGTCGTTATTGTAAATAATGTGCATATTTTATAATTTGAATTATGTTATATATTAATTTTTATATACTTTTAAAACATCGGGTTATATTTCTTAAAAGTAGTTGTACACTGTAAAAAAAGGGAGTTAAATTTTAACTCCCCAGGGGAGTCTATAAAAGTCGCACCCATTGGAGAGTTAATGCTAGGGGAGTTAAATAAAGAGAGTTAAAATTTAACACCCAAATGCTAACTCCCCATGGAAAATATAACTCGCGCGGGTGTTGAATAAAGGGAGTTAGAAATTAACTCTCTTTTGGAGTTGATTTTTAACTCGAAAAATTTAACTCCCAACTCCCGAGTCCGTTAACTCCCTAAATTTTTTACAGTGTACTGATGAGAAAAATATTGGAAAGGAAACATCGTTTAAAAGAAGGAAAACTAATGCTCTTCAGTTAACCGAATTCTTTGACATTTTTGTCGAAAATGGAGTGAAGGAAGCTCGATGCAAGCTCTGCGAATTAAATGAGCCACCAATCATAAGAATTTTAAAAATGACCGATGCTAATACTTCAGGAGTGAAGAGACATCTTAATCGATACCACGAAAAAGAATTCAAAGACATTTACTTTGCGACTCCAAAATCAAAGGTATGAATTTCTTTATTATTGGGATTTCCAGTATACAATTTTTGACTATCAATAACTTAAACATTATATTCTTACAATATTCAACACTCATAATTTTCTATTAAAATAAAAAAAATTGTATTTTCTTTAATATTCAAACATTTGCGCATTTTTGTAAACTAAAAGGATTTTTCTTTAGATTCTTGAAAACTTTTAAGAGTAAAAAGAATTATTTTAAAATAAATATCAAATTAAATAAGTCTAAAAAGTAAATTTTTTTGAAAAAATGGAATTTATATAAAAATTATATATTTGAATTTACGAAAAAATTTTCAATTTTTCTGAAATTAAGATCCATTAAAGGTATTGCAACAAAATAAGTCTCCTCACAAAAAGATGTTCTTTTCTACGTGTTACTCAAACCTTTATTCAATGTTTTTAGGTATTTGAACAGGAAATATTTATTGAAAAGTTATTGAACTTCACTGTTAAGAAATATTTGCCGTTTAATTTCTTTGACGATGAGGGTGCGCAAGATTTATTTCAATATTTAAATCCTTCAGCTGTACTCCCAAAGCGAAATCACTTGAAATCGTTGATTGAAAATCAGTTTAATGAAAAACAAAAACAACTGAATGAATTTACAACTGAATGCTTCCAAAATTTCATTCACAATAGATGGTTGGACGTCTACTGCCATTCTAAGCTACTACGAAATTACCGCTCATTTTATTGATGAAAATTGGGAACTTCATTCGCTGGTTTTAGATTTTTGTCCGTCGCATGGTCAGCACAAAGGAAAAGACATTGCATCTTGTTTTTTTAAAGTGGTTAACGAAAATAAAATTGATAATAAAATAATGGGAATAACTGTGGATAATGCGGCGTCCAACACAACTTTTATGAGCGAATTACAAAAACTAATTGAACTTTTCGACCCTATCAATCAATATTTTAAATGCACGGCGCATGTTCTTAATCTCGCTGTTCAGGACTTGTTGAAAATTTTGAAAATTGAGGAAGGAAACTCGGAAAAAGAAGAAATTGAAGAAAGTGATGAAGAAATGGATATTGATGACCCTGAAAGTGAAGAAATAAGCGAGGAAGTAGAAGAAAACGAATCTGAAGCGAACAATTGGACCTCTCCTGTAAATAAATTAAGAAGTTTATTTAAAATTCTAAGTAAGTCAGAACAAATGCAAAATATATTGAAACTTTGCTGCGAAACATGTAATATCAAAATGCTGTCACCTAACGTCGATGTAAAAACAAGATTGGAATTCCACCCACGACATGATAGTCATTGCAATTCGAATGGAGTCAGCTCTAGATTTAGTGTGTAATCACAATGAGAAATTTAAAAAATTAAAAATCACTGAGCAAGAATGGACAATTTTCAAAGAAGTTACAAAGTACTTACGTCATTTTAAAGTTCTGACAAATTTATTTAGTGCTGAAAAAACTCCGACTTTGAATTTGGTTGTAATTGGTATCAATTTACTACTCGATAAATTAGAGAATTCGATCAACAATCTTCGTTATGCTGAAACTCTAAATCCTATTCAAAAAATTATTCTTGTTGCTCTTGAAGCAGCCCAAAAAAAGATAATGAAGCATTATTCAAAGACGAACTGGACGTACTGTACAGTTCTTATCTTAGATCCAAGGTTCAAAATTGAAACTTTTGAAAAAACTGCTTGGGGCAAAGAAATGAAAAATACATCAATTAAGAAATTTAAAATTGTTTTAAGTACAATCTATTCCAATTCAACACAAGATCAAGAGGATCAAGTAATAGTATTACATTTTATTAATTACAACGTTACAATATACAATTACATTTAATTCAATAAGTTCTATAAAAAAACACCAAAACCTATATTAAAATAACATCATTAGGATAAAATTTACATCTAGAGAGAAATTTTTTCGGACAAAAAAATTTTGTTCATTGCTAATAAAACCAAAAAAAAAAAAATTCTTTAAAGTAAAGTAAAAATTTTTGTATGTCAAAAAATAGTTTTTTATTAACATTGTTATATTATTAAAAAATTAAAATTAATTAATTAAATTCAAAAAAATTTGGAATAAGGAAAAATTTCTTTAAATTAATAAATTTGTTTTTATATAAATAAAAAAGAATTGACCCCATTTTTATAAATAAAATAATTTTTTAAAGCGTGAAATGAAAACAAAATTTTTAATCGGACTTATTTATTTATATAGGCACCTAATGAAACATATAAATCGAGTAATCAGTTCGAAAATTCAATTGACAATGATGAAAATGATGATATTGATTTAAATGCATTTTTTGAAGAAAGTACTGTTAATAATAATACAACAAATAACTGGCAACGAGAGTTCAATATCTATTGTTCGGAAAAACGAGCTGACAGTTCAACAGACATTTTGGAGTGGTGGAAAAATCATCAAAAAACATATCCGATTCTCTCCAAGATGGCCAAAGACTATTTATCGATACAAACAACTTCTGTTTTTTGTGAACGTTTATTCTCGCGGAGTTCGTTAACTGTTACAAAACGGCGCAATCGATTAAATGATGACTCTATTAGATTTTTAATGTTACTTAATTCGTGGGCCACATGCTCTCTTGCAGATTTAATTCGGTAAGGAAAAAGTGACTTAAATTACGCATTATAATAGAATTTTGTTACTTTTTAAACATTCTTAATTAATAAAAAAATTATTACTCTATAATTTGGAAATTTATTGAAAACCATAAAGCTATAGAATTTATATAATACTTCATTTTTTCCGTAACATTCTACATTAATATTAGTAATAATAATTTAACATTCTAAAATATAGAAATAGTTACTAGTAAATTATTGCAGAAAAACGAATTGATATTAATGCAAAATACGGTTTTTTAAAATTTATTTTCAAAGAAAACATAATTTTATTTATTAATATTTTTTATTTACTGTATTCATTATTTAACAATATTAATTTTCAGAAAATTCCTATCACTTTTCTTCCAATTAGTTCAAATTTTTAATAATTCAAATTTGTTTGTTTTGTGATAATATTATTGCAAAAAAATTCATAAATTGATTTATTTTTCACTATTTTATAGAATGTGAAATTTTTTCTCTTTCAAATTTTTTCGACAAATTTAATTAAAATTGTATTTTGTTCAATTATTGGTAGAAATAGAAATAATTTAAAAATAAAGTTAATATTTTCTTTTTTTAAGTCTGTTACGTTGGACTACAAAATTCATAATTTTCATATAAATTCTAAAAATGGATTATTTTTCCGGTACTTTTGATAAAATTCCCTGACAAAATAAAACGATTTAAAAAAAGGCATTTAATCTTTTTTAAGGAAATATAATTATTAATTAATAAGTTTTAAAATTAATATTTCTTTTTTTTTCTTACAAAATAATCAGTGTTTTTAATATAAAATTTCAAAACTCCCGGTCAAGTTCAAAATTCATTGTCATTTTTCGGTTTTTAACGGTTAAAAAAAATTTCCTTGCATTTCCCAGTTTTCACGGTCCAGCGGCGGCCACCTTGTAAAACGAGAAATAAACGAGAAACAATGAGATTCTCGGCATATTACAATCTCGTCCTTTAAAACGAGAACGAGAACGAGATTTATTGTTAATAACCGAGAATTTTTCTTGTTTCTATAAATTTCTCGCTCGTCCCGCTCGTCGTGCATCTCTAAATTATTTAAAAATATGTTTAAGGGAAGATCTAATCTTTCATCCGGGTCCTTACAGGTATTTCTCAACAAACATATTCCATAAAATAAAAAATTTTTTTAAGACATTAAACTTCAAAATTGTTATGACTACAAAGAACCAGAGGTTACTTACATTTTATATTTTAGTCGAAAATTAGCACTCGCTGATTTTCGAGGTCCTCGATTTTGAATCTGGAAAAAAGCATTATAAATAATAATATCATTAAAGAAATGAAATAAAGAACAATAATGTTAGAGAGAATGAGTTTCTAAATTATACACTGGGGTCAAAAAGTTTCAGTACATTTGTATTCATTACTTTTAAATGCTCGCTTCACTTCAAATTCAAATATTTCTGTAGAAATAAATGTAAGAGTTGAGGCATTTCAAAGTAAAAGTATGTACTTTAAAATGCAAATAAAGTTAATAAAAAAATGCATTTTTAAATAAAAAAATTTTTAAAAAAATTTTTTGTTTATTTACTCCTCTCTGAGAAAAATGTTATTAACATATTTGAATTCCTTATGAATTTACCTTTAATTTCATAAAAAAAATTGATGGAGACTCAACAGGTTCCGGAAATATTGAATTTTTTGTAAAAAATAGTCATAGTTACAGCAGCAATGCACGACTGCGGTAACGTACTACGCGACTTGTGCAGTATGGTGCTATGGCGCGGCGATGCTTTTTTTACAAAAATTCAATATCTCCGGAACCAGTTGAGTCTCCATTAATTTTTTTTTATAAAATTAAAGGTGAATTCATAAGGAATCTAAATATGTTAATAACATTTTTCTCAGAGAGGAGTAACTAAACAAAAAATTTTTTAAAAAATTTTTTTATTTAAAAATGCATTTTTTTATTAATTTTATTTGCATTTTAAAGTACATACTTTTACCTGAAAAATGTGTAAATTTCATAAAAATCCATGAACAATATTCCGAGATATTCAAATTTTTATAAAATTAATATTAAAATTCAAAATGGCGTATCTTCAACAATTTTGAATATTTTTTGAAAAAATTTAAGGGAAAGAAGTTTCTTATATAGAACTATAATCCCACGAAGTTTTGCGAAAATCGGCATACCCTTTGCAAATCGTGATATTTCTGACGTGAAATGCTTCAGTTATACAACTACGATCAGTTTAAAGTTCATTAAATTGACAATTTAATAGGCTTAAATGTGACCAATTTAATAATGTAAATATGAAAATATAATTCTTTAGTCAGAGATTTTATGGGAAAATTGCGATTTCGAAATCTGAATTCTTAAATTTCTGAAACATTTTTTTAAGATTTGATAGTTGTATAATATCAAGCAGGTACAAATTCCATTCTTTAATACTAGACCAAAATCATTTACAATTTTACATATATTTCTTCAAATTCTATAAAAATAACTTCTCTTGCTCTTTAAATTTTTCAAAAAATATAAATTGCAAATTCGTCGTTTCCGTTCACTTGTTTTATCAATTAACCACACTTTTGAAAAATATAAAACCTCTTGATTTTAGGAAATTTAAGATATTTACATGAAATTTATCCCTCTTCACATAATTTTACAAATTTTAACTCTGTCATTATTTCCTTATTTTTTTTCTAGGTCCAAATTTTCTTATTTTACAATAACAAAGAGATGCATATTTTTCAAAAATGTGGTTAATTGATAAAACAAGAGAACGGAAACGACGAATTTACAATTTATATTCTTTGAAAAATTTAGAGAGCAAGAGAAGTTATTTTTATAGAATTTGAAGAAATACTTAATATATGTGATTGATTTTGGTCTAGAATTAAAGAATGGAATTTGTTCTTGATATTGTACAATACTGTCAAATCTTAAAAAATATTTTGACCCTAGTGTGTAGTGCGTTATATTAAAAAATGTTATTAAATATAATTAAATATTTTTCTTTTAAAATTTTTTTTAATATCTTTATTTAATTTTTAGTTTTATTTGATTAAAATAATTTCATAAAGATTAATCAATTTATTTATCATGGAAAACACTATAATATATATCTACGCCTATTAATTCTATCTCCTCAAATTCAACGTATTTTACTTTTGTCTGACGCTACGCAGACTTTTACTACTGGTATTTTACTCGTTCTGTTTTAAAAGATCTCTTATATTAGTAAAACAAACATTTATTTCAAAATAAACATAGATTATTATCTTATGACTAATTTTAAGATATTATTATATTAGGAGAAAGACAAGTAATCCTGAGTATTAAATAATTATGAGTTTTGTTTGTTGTTGAATTTGGAATTCAAAATTATTTCTAATTATGTTATAATGATATTTTTTTAATTTATGAGACATTTTCTGATAAGCCATTTGAAATTAAATCTTAATGGATTTCCTAGAATTTTTGATAAATTATTGCCCTCTATAAGTTTTAAAAATTCGTAAAATATTACCCGTGTAGAAAAATTTCGTAACGCTAGCTAGCAGCGCTAGACTGCATGTAAATTTACCATGTATCTAGCACTGCTAGCTAGCGCCAAGAAATTTTTCTACATGGGTAGTTCGTTAAAAAATATAGAAACTAATTGGGGTTAAAGTTTTGAAATTTGTACAAAAATTTTAATTTTTTTGTACTAGTCGAGTGGTCGGAACCCTTATTAATGCATTTGAACATTATTACGTATTTTTAACACTAAAGATGGTCACCCTAACTATCATTATGTTACCCACTACTATAAATTTCTCTTTGTAAATAATTCAGAAAGTACTAAAAAGAATAATTCAATTATTTAAATTATTCGCCTTCTTTGATGCCTTTGTTACGCGTGAGTTCTATAAGAAATTGGATCAATAAACTACATTTTTCTTGGTAGAAGATAAAGTCAAAATTTAAGACTTAATTAACACCAACGCTGTGTCCTATTTAAACATTCTGTAAGCCTATTTAACACCAAAAATCCTATTCAAGACCTTTTTGAACCTGTTTCAAAAATAGAGAATTTCTTAGTTCTAAATATTAATTAAATTATAATTTAAAAAACCGAATTTAAAGTGTAATTAAATTTTATGTACTCTCCCTGCGTTAAGCAGGGTTTGACGCTTCAAAGTGGATTTTACTAGCAATCTAAATAAATATTTACAAAAACACTTAACCTACACGCTTTTATTTTTGTCCACAATATTTCTATGTTGTTTTCACCATAAGGACATCAAAAGAGCCTATTGTGGGCATAAGACAACATTGCAAAAATAACATATCAAAAACATGTCAGTTACAAAACTTTCTCTACTCATCCATAACTTAACTAAACATCTTCTCAAATATCTTTCTCATTCCACCCTCTAAATCTGAATAATAAAATCCTTGATAAATTTTGTTCTTCATCAATCAGTAAAAATTAATTAATTATTAGTAGAAAATAACTAATTATTAATAAATAAATAACTAAGAAAATAAGTCAAATTCGACTACCCAGATAGCATATAATTTTGTATCAAGTTTGCGACAAGCTTGTCGTGCAAGTTTGTTAATGACAAGAACATAAAATTTGTTATTCAAAAATAACAAGAGCAGCAAACGACCAGACAAACAACAATATTAATTCTATTAATGTGCTTGCAAAAAGGGTCATTCTTTTAAAAGAAAGAAATCAATTCTGCTAATTTATTCGTAATTATGATCCAGGAGTTACAAGTCTTTCTCCTAGTATAACATTAAATTTATTTCTAAAAATATCTTACCCGAATATTTCTCTTGAACATTGATAGGCACTATTTTATTTTCTGATTTTATTTTTTACTCGTAGATAATTCCTTAGGCTTTTGTGATAGATCATACTGCTAAAGTATAATCGGGTGAAACATGCAATCGCCTTTGCCTCTTTCTGCTTAGATTCTGATCAACCATTGTAGTCACTGATAATCCTCTCGCAATCGTGAAATCATAGAGAAATAATTCCGGAATTCTGTAATACATTTAATACTGTCAAATTTTTTTTTGCCTACGAAATAATTATTTCATTTATATTTTTAAAATTATTTTGTAAATTGCAGAAATTTTAAACTCATGAACAATGTTTTCATTAATTACTGCTAATTTTTTTTCATTAAAAATGCTAAAATAAGTAATAAATTTAGCAACGATTTTTACAAGGATAATTAAATTTTACTTGACAACATTTTCACATTTCGTTTGTATTATAATTAAAGGATTCAAATTAAAAGAAATTGATCTAAGTTTTTATTGTAGTTAAATATAAATCTAGAAACTAAATAATTGCTTTTTTACCGTAATAGTTGAACATGCAATTTTAGGGAGTCCAGTAGTTGGACATGATAAGGACTAATAGTTATATAAGGAAATACGCATATTTATTTGCATATTTTTGTATTTGTATATTAGTTAATAATGTCAACTATAAAATTTATTAGTTAGTTATTTTATATTAATTAATTCATTATTTAATTAGATTAAAGCTTGTAAAGTTTATGTCCAACTACTAGTGCTGCTGATGCTCAAAATTAGAAAGAAGAAGGTAAAAGACACTCGATTTTGAGTAGTTTGTGACATGCTATTGTATATAATTTTTTTTTATAAATTTTTGTCTTAGAAATTGAAAACTTGAGTTATATCCAAAAGCTAAAATTCAGAAAGGGCATTTATTATTTTTTTATTTACATTGGAAGCAGTTTTAATTGGTACACGGTAATTCGCCCGAATGTACCCGCCCGAATTTATTTGCCTGAATAGATACACGCCCGAATGGTAATTCGCCCGAATTTTTTCGCCCGAATGGTTTTGCCCGAATTTTTTTGCCCGAATGATTTTGCCCGAATATAAATTCCCGAATCTTATTAATTTTCCCGAAAAAATAAAAGTTTTTAAAAAAAAGAAACAAAAGAGAGGTATTTAGTTATATGCAATGATAGAAACAAAAGAGAGTTATTCAGTTGTTTGCTAACCATTTAAACGTCAAAATTGTAGTGTAAACATTGCCTTCTTTTCAAACGCACAAAATTTTCAAGTGTTGAAGTAAAATTTAATTTCTGGTGTCACAATGGATCAAAATTTAGAAGCGATAGTTTATTTTTTAAATTACATTCTCTTACAAATAACTTCCATTTTTTCAGGAGAGGCAATATAATACTGGAGACGAGACGAGAGTAAAAGTTATATGTTGCATAAAATTTTATTTTTTCGGGTATTTTTCGGGAAAATTAATAGGATTCGGGAATTTATATTCGGGCAAAAGTATTCGGGTAAATATTTTTCGGGCGTTCTATATTCGGGCAAATGTTTATTCGGGCTGTTACTTTCGGGCGAACTACATGTAATCGTTTTAATTATTTTTTTTACTGTCCATCTATTGGTTCCATTTTTTTCAATGTGCTTTTACCTTAAATTATTAAAAATTTTATGATATATTGTGTACATATGACAGCCCCACAAAAAAGTGTCATGTATTTTTAACCTGAATACCCTATCCTCATGTACTTTGGAGTCAAGATTTTTCCTAACCTCAAGAAACATGGATTTTTTTATGGTATATTAATTTTTTAAAAATTGATTTGTGTGAAACCTGTTTTTTATCAGATTATTTGTCAGATTTTAAAAGTTCAAAATGTCGGGCAAATTTTGTTTAATCATTTATGGATTTCCATGAATGATGATAGTTTTTGGGGTCACTAATTATTATGAAACTGAAGTCAGATTATCAGATTCAATAAGACAGTTTAGAAATGGCGAAAATTTAAAAAATTTTTTTTATGAAACTCTGTATCCAGGGGTTTTGGAATCTCTTATTACGAATTTAAAGTCAAATTTTAAAAATTCACTGTAACATATTTAACATAGTGGACACTTTTATTATGAAATTTTAATGAATTTTATTTAATGAAATTTAGTAACTAATAATAAGATTTTTTGGATTGTTTATTATAAATCGGAAATCAGATTTGTAAAATTCAAGATGTTAGTTTTGAAATATAAAATTCTTTTTAATCCGCATGTTAACCCCCTAAAAGCTCTATTTTCATCAATAAACATTAAATTTGAAGCAGCCAAACAATTTTTTAAAGGTTCAGATAAAAATAAAAACTGTTTGAAATACATAAAAAAAATTCCTAAGATCTATGATGAATAACTAAAAAAGGGATTTTTTATGATTCACGGATTTTATAAAAAACTATCAATTCTTAAAGAATATGTCCACCATTTTTATTATCTTAATATAATTTTAAAAATATGAAATCAAATAATAATGAGGGATCCCAAAAAACCCCTGGCTACCATGTTTCATAAAGAATTATTAATTTTTTATGTCCGCCATCTTGAATCCACCATATTGAATTTTGAAAATCTGACTTCAGATTTGTAATCAATTACTTCAAAATCCTTTATCTATCAAGTTTCATACAAATCAACCTATTTTTTAAAAAAATTAGTTTATCAGAAAAATTCTGATATGTTTTTCAAGGTTAGGAAAAAATCATGACGAGATGGAGCAAAGCGGACTTGGAATTCGTGTTCAGCGCATCAAAATAATGGGAGTTAAAATATTCTGATTAAAATTACATGACATTTTTTTATGGGGCTGTGTAGTTTACCGAAGGACATTTTATTTCATTTTATTTTCTACTAAAATTTGTAGGTAATTAAAAATATTTACAATTACAATTTTAATTATACTTGAGCTTTAAATGGTCCTTATAGGTGGCCTCCATGGTTTTTTGTCTAAATTATGTTTAATAAGATTGAAAAATTAGTAACAATATACTAAACTCGTAATTTACTAAAAGTGTTAATTTACCTACATTAAAATCTTAGTTATTAAAAATTATATCTTTGCTTTTTGAAGTCCCAAGAATATAAAACGAAAATCAATAGTAGCAAATAAAACTAAAAGTTCAATTTGAAATTATCATATCAACAAAAAATAAAATGGGGGCCCCAATAAAATTTCCACTCAATAAAAATTGTATTGTTTGTTAACTACAGTATTATGATACATATTAAAACAAATACAAATTATGAATGAGAATTATATTTACAAAATAAAGTCAACCATAAAAATCAATATAAAAATAAAACAATTTGTAAAGTTCTAAATTATTAATATAATTTTATAATATATTCGTATACAATAAGAAGCTGCATTTAACTTTTAATGAAAGAATGAAAATTTAGTAAATCATTGGAATTGCAAAACAACCAAATTCAAAATAAAGTCTAAATAACTGTAAAATATCAATATCACAATATGAAAGTGATTAAAATTTTAATGTATAAAGTAAGGTAATAAATAATAACAATGAAAAACATTTAAGCAGATCAAATGAACAAAATGAATAAAATTATTTTAATTTCAGACAATAAAGAACAAGTCTTTTAGAAGTTTTAAGAAGATTTTCATCTTAACGCTTTGATATGCAATGGAAGATCATCAGATGAAGCTATACCTGAACATGAATACATTCTTTCAATATTTCTGCAATTATCTGAAGAAACAAAGCAGCATTTTCTTGTGCAAACTGAATGGCCTTAAAGGACTCGAAATTCATAGGTTTTTTCACTCACCTAATGGGGGTCACAAGGTGAATGTCCCGGACATTCGACACTTTTGTCTTTCTCTTTTTGTTTTTCTGGGTCATACACTTGAGCTTTGTTTTTTAAATAACTTGGCACATAATATCCAGATTCATTGCTTGCCAGTTATCACCGACTTCCGGTCTCAAATTTGAAAGCAGCAAGAATTAATTTTGGTCGATCAACGATAAAGTCAGATAAAAAATACTTGACTAAACGAGTTGCGTCACAGTAGAAGCATCTCATCGTCGCACTACCTCGAGAGCAAGCGACTCGCGCACGTTTCCCTCGGGATGGGATATGTTGGCAATTGAGAAATATCCAAAAAGTCTGCGAACAGCACCCTAATCCAGGCCGGGTACAGTTGCAAAATAAGTGTAATTGTTCAATGAAAATAAGAATTTATCGGAAGTTCCTAATAAATTCCAGAAAATTTGATGAAGCGTTTAGAACGAAACTTGTAACCCGCGTATCTCTTCTCAGTTGCGTGAAGCATAGTTGCTGTAGCAGCACCGTCGAATTCTGGGTAGCGTTCAATGAAATTCACCCTCTTTGCTCTTCCACCCTCAATAAGGATTCTTCTTTCTCCGCTCACCCACCCTCCTCTTGCTTTCATTTGTTAGTTCTTCTATGCACTAGGTCCTATTCATTCTTTTTGTATAACTGTTTTCCTTATAAATATGACATTTATTATATCAATCTAAATACTTGAATAATTTCGAAATTAACCAAATATTTAGATTCATTTAATAAATGTCATATTTATAACGAAAATAGTTAATTTCGGGGTATCAAGAAGCATTGCAGATCAAATTGATTCGAAAAAGCGATTAAAATGATAGAAAAATTCGGGTCATTTTACTGTAAAATTAAATGACAATTGCTTGTTGTGATCTGTCAGTTGAACATGTCAATAGATTCATGAACAAATTTTTAACTTTTGTTTCTTTTTTTGGATATTTTAAATAAAGTTAAAATTGCTGTCGTTCTAAGCCATTTTCATTGAAATTTTAGCATAATCAGTAAAAATACTGATGTGATAAAATTGTTCCTAAGTATATAATAACTGAGATTACCGCAACGCAACGTTGATTTAACGGAAAAATTAAAAAAAAAAATTTTTGTAAAAAGTTCAGAATTCTACAAATTTCTCTCAATAAAAATTGGTTTACCCAGGTGCGATTTTTTGGTCGGCCCATAGTTGGGCTAACTTTTACAAAGTCGGTCCAACTTCTCGTGCCAGAGGTTGGGCCAACCATACAGATGATAACGGTTCGCCGTCTAATGGCGACGATGGTTGGCCCGACAACTCATAAGGAAGTTGGCCCAACTTACAATGCATATGTTGTGGCAATTATACATTTCAATGGTTGGTTCGAAGACTGACGTCAAAGTTTGCACAACTTTAGATGCGTAATCAATCAAGTCAATTAAACTGCGTTTTACAAAGTTTTGCCCACCGTCGGGCCAACCGTGGCCCAGAGTTCTGCCAACCAAAAAAGTTTCAGTCATTTAAACTGCATTTGACATAGTTTTGCCAACCGTCGGGCCAACCGTGGCCCAGAGTTCGGCCGACCAAGAAAGTTTAAGTCATTTAAACTGCATTTGACAAAGTTTTGCCAATCGTTGGACCAACCGTGGCCCAGAGTTCGGCCGATCAAAATAATGTAAGTCAATTAAACTGCGTTTTACAAAGTTTTGCCAACCGTCGGGCCAACCGTGGCCCAGAGTTTGGCCGACCAAGAAAGTTTAAGTCAATGAAACTGCGTTTCTAGAGTTTTGCCAACCATTGGGCCAACCGTGGCCCAGAGTTCGGCCGACCAAAAAACTATAAGTCAATTATACTGCTTTTCTTGAGTTTTGCCAACCGTCGGGCCAACCGTGGCCCAGAGTTCGGCCAACCGAAACTGAAAGTCTTTTAAACTACGTTTTGATGAGTTGTGCCAACCTTTGTCGACAAAGTTGGCCCGACGGTTGGTGAAACTCTGCATTGGTTGGCTTGCAAAGTCGGGCCAACTGTGGGCACTAGTACTTGGCAAAGTTGGGCTGTTTTAAGCCAATATGTAATACCTTCCAAAACCTAAAATTAAAAAAAGGTGGGGAAACAGAAATTCTTATTTTTTTCTCACGGATTTTCCAAAAATCACTAAACTTCAACTAAATTATTGTTTCCTCGCCTCGAAAATAATTTTTTTCTTTTCATAATTTTTTATTTTAATTTCAGAAGACATTTAAAAAAAATTCTAATGAGATCTAATGCGGTAAAGCAATTCCCTTAATTTCTGAATTTTTTCTAATATTCATTAAAAATATATTTTTATCCTGATAATAAATTGAATTCTTGCAACGAAATTTTATTATTCATTAAAAAATTTTAATATTTATAAGAATAATTTAATTTTTGCGAAATTAAATAATTTATTCTGCTTGAAAATTTTATGAAAATATTAGATATTGAAAATTATTGATTTGAGAAAAGTTTTTAAAATTAATTAAATTTTTACAAAGAATTCCATTAAAAATTTTTTACAATAATTAAATGTCTGTGTGGTATTTTATTAAATTTTTTTTAAAAAATAATTGAATTTCTAAAAAGCATTTTATTAGTTATGAAAATAATTGAATTCTTGCGAACGACTTTAATACAATTTTTTTAAGTAATTGAATTTCCAAGAAATAATTTATTACTTTTAAAAATAATTGAATTTTTATGATAAATATTGTTATTCATGAAAATAATTAAACTTTGCAAAGAATTTTATTAAAATTCCTTAAAAAAGAATTAAATTTTCGGGAATAATTTTGTTATTTACCGACATAATTGAATTCTTTCAAAGAATTATTTATGTAAATAATTGAATTCTTCCAAAGAATTACAAAAAAATTTTTTTTTTATATAATTGATTATCTTAAGGAATTAAAATTAAATTTTTAAGAATAATTACATTTTTCGATCAATTCCTGTAAAATTGTATTAAAAATAATTGAATAGTTGCAAAGAATTTTATTAAAATTTCCAAAAATAATTGAATTCTTGAAAATAGTTTTATTATTTATGAAAATAATTGAATTATTATTGCAAAAAATTTTATTAAAATGTTTAAAAAGAATTAAATTTCTGTGGAAAGTTTTGTTATTTTTGAAAGTAATTAAATTCTTCATAAGAATTTTATAAACATTGTTTTAAATTATTAATTTTTTCGAAATAAAAATATTATGAAAATTTTATTTTAAATATGTAATTGAATTTTTAGATTAATTAATTTTTAATAGTATATTACAAATAATTGAAATTCTTCGATGAGTTTTACTATTTATGAAAATAATTGAATTTTGCAAAGAATTTTATTAAAATGTTTAAAAAGAATTGAATTTCTGTAAAAAATTTTGTTGTTTTTGAAAATACTTGAATTCTTTAAAAGAATTTATTGAATTTCGAATATTTTTTTTTAATAATTGAATGGTTTTAAAGAATTTAATTATAATTTTTGAGAATAGTTTTTTGATTTCTAGTATTAGTGAATATAAAGTAATGTAAATTCTAAAAGTAAGTAATAGTAGCTTTTAGGGGCTGAAATCTAAAAGAAGTACCCAAATAGTAGTATAACGTAAAAAAGTAGTAAGTAGTACAAAAAAAGTCAAAAATTGATAAAGTTGCTTTTTTATTGTTTTTCCGAAATGAGTTTATAAGTAGTTATTTTTCAATCGAAACACACAAGAAATATCGTCTTCAATTTTTCTCTAATGTTTTTCTATTTCAGCTTTTTATTGAAAATTATGTTTGTATGTAAAGTATGTCGACTGTTCTCATGATGAAAAGAGGAACAGATTTGATTTTGACAGTCTCATCACATAAGAAAGTATTCAAATTAGTCAAAAATTTATATTTTTAATTTCATTAAATTATTTATTATGTCTTCTCAGATAAGACAGAAGCTTAAAACATGCTTGCGGCTTAGTAGTTTATTATGCAAACTCAGCAAACTTTCTGCTGTTCAGTATAAGCTGTTCGTGAAAGGTTGTTTTAGGCTTGCTATAAACGATTCTAAAAAATATTTTCATTCCTAAAGCATCTTTTGAACTCATCGGTGTCTCGAACGCTGAGTGACGTTGACATAGCAAAAGATCATTGCACGATCCCTTATCGCTTTTATTCAGAGGTAAAAATTAATATCAATATTTTTATTAACAAATATTCAATTTTTATACCATATTTTTTAAGTTTTAAAATGTTATTTCGTAAGGCAATGATGTATGAGATTGACATACTGCTTTGTATTTCTACTATTTGGTACATGCAGAATTTTTTTACTACGAAATACGAATGAAAAACCGCTGCCGAGTTAAAAGAAGAATTTATTGTGTTCATTTCACGAACACTTTGCTTTCTCATGGAAAGTTTTGTAGATCAATTTATTTTATTTTTTTATTATTACATACATAAATTTTTATTACGTAAATTTTATTACATTCAACACTTCTGCTTTTATAAAATTATTTTTACTATAAATTTATTTGAAAAATATAATTTCCACCATTTTTGGTTTATAATCCAACAATAATTTCGTATTTTTGATCGAATTAGGTTAAAAAATCAGTGAATCAAAGCTATTTTTAAAGTTCTACAAGTTATTTGTAAGACATTAAAAGTTACTTACACACTTTTAAAAAAAATTTCTAAAATAAGACTGTCTTTAAAAATTGTTGGTTTTTTAAATACCAATAAGTTCGTAATTTCTAATCGAATTAGGTTCAGAAATAGGTCAATCAAAGCGTTTTTTAATTTTACAATACTTCCTCCATGAGGAAGCAAAACAATTGATAAAATATTAAATGTTTCTGAAATTATAAGTGTAGAATAACAAAGCTGTAAGTACATATTACACAGGCCGACAAGATTTACTTGCCAAGAATCAGACAATACTTTTCCGAAGGTTTTCGACGTGCCAAATCCGAATCCGGCATCAAAATAGACCCTGCACGTCAGGTTTTCAAGATATTTTAACCTAAAAGTGCAAAAAACCTGTTTTTAGTTATATTTGATGTCATGTAACATCAAGAGATAATTTTTTCTCTAAAAGGTCAATATTGCATCTAAAAGTGCTACTCTTCCCCTTTAATATCCATTTTGAAAATTTAAAATATCTTCATTTGTCTCTGAGTAATCGTTCATTGAATTTTTTGAGTTAGGTGAATTCTTCGAAAACTAAGTAGAAACAGACAAAACTTCGATAATAAAGAAGAATTTAACTATATAAATTTTAAATAGCTCTGAGGATTTTCGATATAACTGAATACGAATTCGATATCAGATTCACAAAATTCAAAATGGCGAATACAATATGGCAGACGATTTTTTAAAAATTGATTGTATTTGCCTAAAATATGCTATTTTGAATTCGGTCAATTTGAAATCGAATTCATATTCAGTTATATCGAAAATCCTCAGAACTATTTAAAATTTAGATGTTTGCAGTTAAATTCTGCTTTAATATAGAAGTTTTGTCTGTTT